AATAAGCCCGAGAGTTAATGCCATTTTTTTTTAAACGAACTTCATGAAATTTTAAAATTTTTTTTCCCCGCTTTTTTTTAACTATATCGCTATAATTTACTGCGGGTTAAACAATTTTTTTGCGGTAATTTAAATTTTGAAAAAATTGTTTTTCCTAAACAAACCATACCAAAAGATAATTTAATAATAAAATCAAAATATTTTTTTAATATCTAAGCAAACTCAACATTAAAAATCATTAAGTTTTAAATTAATTTTTTTTTAATATTTGGGCCAACATTGGCAGGGTTTCCTTTTTCTAATGTAATGTTTTGTCATAAATATAATGTGTGTATTTTTGTATTTATTAATGTAAATAACTATTATAACTTATGATGTATGTCATAAATTTATGTGCTTAACCCATGTTTAAACCATGACCTTTATTTACTGTGTTTGATTTATTGTATAATATGTAATGAATGTGAATGTAAATATAAAATTTTTCTTTCTATTATATTCAAAATCTATACAATGGAAATAATATTTAGCTGATCGCCTATTATGTAATGTTCAGTGAAATAAATCTGTTCATTTTGATTCAAATAAAAGGTTAGAATAGGACATATGACTAAACGTATCAAACTACTGATTTAGTGAGTCGAGCAATATATTTTACACTGTACGTTGACGATGTAAACAATTATGCTTAAGTTGTATAGACACTTAAAAAACATTTGAATAAGTCCTTTTAAAAATGGTTAACTCACGCAAAGATTTAATTCCTTTTATTTCATGCTTTCCGGTGTTTTATTGTAATATATCAGATGATTATATTCTGATAAACCACTAGTGAAATTTATAAAATATAAATTTCACTGTAGCCGGACTATAGCTAAATGCGAATAAAAAGAAAATCATAACTAAATGGAATAACAGGCAGAAATAAATGCCGCCATTTATAAATTTTGCTTCTTTAGGAAAAGAAAGTCGATGTCACCATACATCATGTTAAAAAATGTAACAAAATTAGAGAAATTTAACAGAACTATATTTTAAAATTAATGATGTGACGTCATTATGTGATGACGTCACAAAGGAGACTGCGTGACGTTACGTGGCAAAAATCAGTAAAAAATACTTAAAATCACTTAAAAAGCATGAAATAAAAAGAAAATTGATTTGTTTTACGTATAAGATTGAAATATATTTCATTCGTGAACACCAGCTATTATATTTTCACTCGTGGCTACGCCACTCGTAAAAATATTGCATCTGGTGTTCACTTAGTGAAATTATATTTCAATCTTACATGCAAAACAAACAAATATCCTTTATATATCAATTGGTTATTCTGGTAAAAAATCAAATACATTAAGCACTATGTTTAAAGCGGCCTACGTCATTTCCAAAGGTTAAAAATGTTGTCTGTTTTCTGTTGTTTTTTTTTGTTTTTTGTTTTTTTTATTAATCGTTTCAAACATTTGTTATATCAAAAGAATTAAGATTGAAAAATGAAATTTACTTGGAAATGAAATACATAAACAATATTGCATCACCTTGATGCCTCTAATCTGCCGGTCCGCCCTCTATAGCTGACGATTCGTTTCAATATCTTCTTTTGTTTGGATACTAACGCACTATAAATAGCTCTTCGGGACGCTTTTGATGAAGATTTAACATTGATATTATGCACTTTTTCAAGACAAAATTACTGAAATACTTCGTTTGAAACAACATAGAATTGTTTTTTTTTTGTTTTTTTTTTTGGTAACAAACAATGTTGAAGCTTTAATAAGATTAAATAAAAGAAAAATAAATAAAATATGTACTTCTTTGAATATTGCACATGCGTACCAAAAGGAATTTTAGCGAAAGGTTGGTTTAAACATATTTTTATTCAAGGTAATATATACATGTTAAATATTTACAATTTAAGCAGAAAGGAATTGGACCGAGAGCTACAATAGCTCATGGTAGTCCTCTCCTTCAAAAAGGTTGGCTTCCCTCTTTATGAATCTTTTATCTCTTCATTATTTTGTAATCTCTATTTCATCACCGTTAAAGATTGTTCAAAATGTTTTCGAATCATATTATCCTTTGACCTATGAAACAACCTATCCATATATGCATGTTAAATATTATTGTGTTGGTAATAAAAGGTTGTAGTTATTACGAAATATATTTTCTATGAGGAAATGAAGCTTTCAATTTATAATATGTAGGTAGGCAGGTAGACAGGCCGGTAGTTTCACAAACTTAAACTGAAATATTTTATCGAAACAGGTCTATATTAATTTAATGATTCCATGGCGGGGAAATTTTGATCCAAGGGGCATAATCTACATATGTTTTGTAGAGGACCACCGAGTGATACTACATGCCAAATATCGAATCTCGGCTCTGCAGGTTCTGATAGATATCCGTACTGTACTAGTAAATATAGATTTATTACTTCCGAGATGTCGCCAAATATTACCCCCAGGGGTATGATTTATATATCTGTTAAAGATGTTTACTTAGCGATGCCGTAAGACAATTATCGTCACTTAAGGAATTGTAGATTCACAACATAAGACGCATTTTCCAATATAAGCCTATGCCATTTAAGTGACCATTAGGGCGGTGCTATTTTTACCCCAGGGACATGATTTATGTAAGTCATTTAGAGAACCACAAGTTTATACTGCATGCCAAATATTCTGGTTCTGGGCATTTTAGTATCTGAAAAGTTGATTTTTTTTAATATCTTATTTTTCAAGTATATTGTTATTTCCTGTGACCTTCTTATACATCAGACTATTACCATTTACCTACCTGTTGTAAAGGATCAACTAAGAATCATGATTGGTTAAAATTCATCAAATAGTTAAGGAGATGTTGTGATAAGACATTGTTGACAACGACAGAAGACATTTCATTTGTGTTAAGGTTGGCTACAAATGTATATTTTGTCTGTATCTTTTACAAATGTTATATTTTCTACTTTCCTATATACAATGTTCGTTTTAATTACTTTGCAAACGTTGTCCTACGCAATAGGGATGAAATGAAAAAAAAACAATAGACAGTTAAAGTTTATACGATATTTTGTCATGGCAGTTATGTGTTCAGATCCAATATGAAGAAAAAAACTATAAAAACATAAAAAATATTATAAAAATATGTATCTAAGTTTGCTTATATTACAATATTTTATAGCATAACTTAATATAACAATTAAATTAATCATGAATGTGTACTACTACATATCGACAATGTATTTATTTGTTCGTGTATTGTGATGTTTACTTCCAATCAAATAAATTCATCTAAATAAGTAAAATTACTATATTTTCTATAAATTCAGAAAGGCACTTTTAAGTGAAAAGTTTGTTTTTATTTTCGATGCATACAATGTACATGTTCAACTATGTTCAACTTTCAGAGGCATTTATAATAAACAAATTGCAAGAAAACCTTTATTTTTTTAACGAAATGTACCACAATCATTATTCACTGATAATCTTTAAATTTGCCCTTAGAAGTTTGAAATTGCAACTTAAAGCTATACTTTATTATAAAGTTTAAAGTTTGACTTTCAGTGTTTATTTATGTTTTCTTTTTGTAAATACGAATGACTTTTCCATAGCCTTTATATTATAATATTTGTTATCTATTCTATGTTGACAAATTTACTAGACGGAATAATTCTACAGTCCAAGTGGTCAAATAATGTATGCATACATGTATGGCAAAATAAAACTAAACGTGAATTAATCTATCATAGAATTGAAGAAACATTTTGATAATTGATAATATGCATTAAAATACATGTACATGTAATTGTATGTTCACACAGTCATATATACTTGATGGATTCAACATGAAATATCCATTACTTAGAATGCAATCACTTAAGAATTGATTAAAATGTACCTGTAATTTTATATGTCTCGAAAGAAATTAAATCTATATTCCATGTTACAAACATAATTAACTTGTAGTCGATTACAAAATAGCTTAAAAAATTACAAAATTACTTAATTCTACTAAAACCTGTTAAATATGTAAGTTCCACTCATAAATAATAAATATCACATCAAGACAATTTTTATAACATATCTACTGAAATAATGAAATTTTATTTCTTGCAGCCATAAATATTTGTATAACAATTTCAACTTCTATAAAACTAAACGAAGACAAAAAATATTAACATCAAATTGAGTCCATGATTCACTTTTATTCATATCAATTCAAAGAAGCTGTAAATAACATTCAAATACACGGAAAAAATCATTCGAAAATCAGTATAAATAAATAATACAGTATAACGTAATTTTTGTTATACTGAGAACAATGCGCATCTATACCTACAATGCATATAATACTCACCCTATCTAGAATACAATTATAAACGAAACAAAAAAGAAAACAGGCATCATAAATAAACTATAGAAAGAAATCCTCAGAAACAGTACATGCAATTTCTATAATATATTGTATTCAAATAAACTTTTCAAATTTTGATTACCAATTTATCCTTAATCTATCCTTTCAAATGATTATTTTTCTTATATTTTTTTCATCTTGACATTATATAAAAGTAAATCATTTTACTTTATTACATGTGTTTACATCCTTCTCGATACATCAAAGGGCACTGTATCTCTCCCTTATCTCATTTTACAGCATATGACATTCAACATAAAACAAAAAAGAAAAAGAAAAAAGGCTAAAACCTCTACGTATAAAATCATACAATTGGGATTTATGACTATACTTCTTGTTTTTCAAAAATCGGCGGCCACAACACTGCTTATTTCCATTTAACATGTGACAAAATATCAAGATGCATAATAATTCTTAAAAAGTTCTTTGGCGATAGCATGTATTCTTTTTTAATAATACGAATCACATTATAAAAATGGTTGTTTTGCTAAATCAAAGAAATTAAATTTGTTGATCTTCATTAAAAGTGTGTCAAATTGGCATGTTCATCTGTACACATGCTTACACCTATTCTTAGAGAGTGTAATATTTTAGAGCTACTCGCGAAACATTATAACAATGCTTGCTTAAACTCGTGAGGGGGCATGTCACTGAAAATCACAAATAACATTGGCTCACAATTATAATATTTGAAGGTTCCCGTTCCGAATATTCTAAGAAAGTTTATTTTTTTTAGAGTTTTACTGTTGGGAAAACGCGCAACAAATCTGAAACAGCTTGTTGTTTTCGTTTAATCAGGTGGTATAACTCACTCCCTCGCTATAAAAAGTAGCATAATATCCATGTGCGTAAGGGCACATTATAAGAACTAGTTTTAAAAAATGACGCGACTATAACAGTTAAAGTTATTTTAAAGTTATACAGCAAAGAAACTCAACAAACGGAAGCACGACAACGATAACATCTTGTCAACAGGACGGAAATATAGACACGGGCAATTAAATGTGAACATCCTTCCTCTCCAAATATTGTCTAGGAAATAAAACGTAAATAAACATCGTGTCCTTATCGAAATACATAAGATTTTTGTCAAAATCGTTTTTCATCGACATAACATATAACATATTAAGTACTTGTCTGCACCCTCTTTGTTGCAAATGAAAAATTAAGAACATTGTAATAAACGTAAAATAAATGTTCCCGATCTTTGACATATTGTATGGCATCACTTCGTTTTTGTCCTCTAAATCCTGATGACACTAATGTTAAACAATCATAATTAAATTCCTCACCATCTCCTGTTATACAGCAGCTTAATATACTCACATATACAGTATGAGGAATACAAGGAAGGTTATCGACAAACTGTTTCCATGTTGTTAAGCTCATACAGACACCTTTAAGATCAATCTGCTTCAAACATTCCATCGCTAAGGGTAACTTTATTATATTGCCAGTTAACCTACAATCATGTAACTCAAGCTTACTGAGATTGTGTAACATTTGTAATGCTGAGATAAGGTTCGTTGTTATGTTTGTATGATATGATCTACAATAATGTAAAGAATCTGACGAAAGATAAAGTTCTTTCAATCTGTGAGATTTTCTGATAAAATCAAATATTTTCTCAAAGGCACTATTTTTCAAAATCTCAAATCTAAGTAATTCAAGTGCGGTACCATCAGCATCTGTAACACTAACATTACCAGTCAAAAAGAGGCACTGAAGATGTTGGTGCTTTGATAATTCTAAATCATGTTGGTTTCTACACTCACAATTAACTATATGAAGACATATTTGTTGAAGATGATTGTTTCTCTGAAGAAAAGAACAGAGTTTGGTAGTATTATCATGACTTATTGTTATATTAGTCATTTTTATTGCTACAAGATTGGTCATATTATGAAGGTTGCCTACAACTACTGTATACATCGGGTACAATATTTTATTTTTTGGATTCCCTTCCAGAGACAGTGATTTTAATGTTGAAATATTTGCCCTAATTGTATTGACAACAGACATACTAGCATCCATAACGTGTTGTTTACTTGATAACCCCGTTGATGAATATGCAAAACTAACATGAATCTTTTCAAGATGCTGAAAATGTGGTAAATACCATATAAGTTTACTACTTTCAAGTTTACTACTTTCAATGGTATTTACATAAATAGAATTCACAGAGGGAAGATCAATGTGTTGCTGATCAATACTTGAGAAAACAAAATCACAATCACAAAACTGATCGCACGGGGAAATGACCAAATCTTCTAAATAAAAAACAGGACATTCTGCTCTAAGACATGCATTACATTCTTCCATTGAATCAAAGATTAGCTTTTGAATATCAGTTACACACTTTGGAGGTCTTTCAAAAAAGCCTGTAATAGTTAAATCGATTGTTTTCTTATATGCATGAAAACGTGGATCTTCTGACACAATACTACGTATATACTTTGAAATTGTTGTTGCTAATTGAGGTTCTAGACCAGAAAGCAAAGAAATAACATTTGACTGCTGTAAAATGTCATTTACTGTTGAACATTTCTGTAAAACTTTATCAACAAACTGCATGCAAAATATTTGCAATTCAACATCGTGTGTGCAACTGGATGAACCTATTTCTATTTTGAAATTGATAGCAATATTAATTGCCGCAAGAAATTCTTGGATTGATTTGTGAATGAAAGAAAACATTATGGCTGGAGGTTCTGATACAGTGCCATTTGGACATTCATTTTCTGTCAGTATTCCAAGTTTCGTACATCTTTCTCGCACATCATATGATATTTCTTGTTGATCAAATACAGACATGTCAAATGTCAAGGACTTGTCCTTTGGACAATTGAACAGTGTTTCAAAAGCCAACTTTGACACATCATAAATAAAATCGCTATTAAATTTACAATTATTTTTATCAGCTAGATACTTTGGGAGTTCAATTTTCGGAGAACCCTTCGTTCTTTCAGCATCTTTTCCCGCAATTTTCATGTCATTCCATGCAAAGATAAGTTCTAACATTCCCGTGTAGATAGCACAACTTGTCGTGTTATCAAGTTTACCATCAAACCAAAGGCATATGAGCTGTTGAAGCATAATTGGAACCTGTTTAAAACTTACCAAAGACTTTTCGTTCAATATTTTCAAACAATTTCTACTGTCTTTAGTATCATGTCTAATATCATTCAGTTTTGAGATTGTCCTATATACCATTGCTTTTTCAGATTTCAAATCAAAACCTCTCAGATTCAGTGAATGGTCAATGTGCACCTCGCTCAAAGTGTGAACTTTCCATGGTCGTGATGTAGTGATTATTGTGTACTCTCTCATTAAACTATGTTCGGGGATATTTTCAGAAGGCCATTCATCTAAGCCGTCAAGCAAGATTATAACTCTACTGGATTCGTCGTCCAGAAGTGTACTTAGAAAATTCGTTTGATATCGTTTTTTAAGCATTTCATCTATACAGTGAATGTTTTGATTCTGCCTGAGGGCAACGTAAAACAAGAAATCAAAATTTTCCATCTCATTAACACCATCAAATTCGAGTTCGTGTTCAGATACATTTCTGTAACAACTTTTGAAATCCATCATTTGAAGGCCAGTTGTCATTTTTAATTTCTTCATTGCCGCCGTCGCTCCAGATTCCTCAATGCCACTCCTAAGTGTATCCTTTCCAAGGTCATCATTTTCATCCCCTTGCTTTTCTTTCGAATCGCCATGTTTCTCATAATCATCTTCAGTTTCATTGTTTGCTTCATTTTCCGGACTGTGTGCCACGCACCAACAGTTAACCAGATATTTGCAAAAGCTAGTTTTTCCTGACCCTGCATCTCCTAGAACATATACAGATTTTTGGGGAACTCCATTCTTTGTGAAGATTTCTGACATTGTTTTAACCTCCACCTCCTCTGTCTCCCCCTTTACTCCTTTTATTTCCTTTGTTATTTTTGGTCGAATATAAATCTCATGGAAGCTACATTTTTCACCTCTTGGATGTAAAGGTGTTGCTGAGACTTGCAGCAGGGTTTTTCGATAATGATCGATCAGCTTTTTCAGCCATTCTAAATAATGAAAACAGAACATTAGAAATAAGTTATAAATTTAGTAATAAATGAGAACCATAACTTTTGTCAAAAGATAGTTTAACATATACATATTTATTATAATTTAGATTGAATATTTTCTTCTACTACATTAACACTTCTTTCGTAATTTTATATGAAATTCAAAAAGTCACCCGGTCAGTTATGAAAACCAAATAAAATTATATTGTTTTGAAAAATAAATAGATTTTCTCGAAATGAATGTCTGGTAGGGGATTTTCGGGAATCATGGAAGTTTTTTGCTTTTATTATTTTGCATAATTTTGGAGTTATTGTCTACTTCATGTTTTGATTGGGACAAACTGTAGAAGGTATAAATTTGAAGTTTCATAGATGAATAGCACCTATTATAAAAAGTACAATTTCCTTAAAACATGAATACTTTTAAAAATATGATTTGTAAAATACTTTATACTTATTTTTTGTCTTTTGCATACAGAAAAAAAGTACTCTATGTCTAAAATTGAAGTTTCATATATTTCTTTCTTTAATACGTTTTCATTAACACTATGTTATATAGTGTATAAACATAAAACTTCATAATGAAGTTTGTGAAATCTAACTCCTCCCAAAATTTGGATGCCTTGAATAAAAATTCCATATCGTATATTCAAAGAATATACCGTTTTAGATATATTCCATGCAATGCTAAATATACATGCAATACATTTCAGCTCTATGTACAGTGATTTTTCTCAGATTGACTTTGTTGTATTTGAAAAAAAAATTTCCAACACTTTAAAGGTCATATATGGCGACCGCAAGCATGACCTATTTAGGAAGCCCATACATTAATTAAGGAATACCTAGACAATTGACTAGAACAAGCGACCTTTCTTTAAGCTAGTTCGATAGCTCGCTCACTTAAAAAAATCAAAATTCTTTGAAGAGATTTGATCCCGCAGCAGTGAGGATGTAGTGATTTTAAGTCGAGGACCTTAACCATAAGGCAATGTAAAAAATTCTGGAAACAAAGTGATCCCTCGGAAGCATTGATCACAACAAAATAACATAAGAATTGCAGACTCGGTTTGATTGAGTCTGTACATGAGGGATAATGAATAAGTGCAACATCCCTCACGCCCCCTAGCACCGTCTAAGTCTTATGTATTCCTTTATAAGTCCATATTTAGTATATAAATTAAATGATTCCAATTGTGTTCTATGTATACGATATTTTTTCCGTATAAGGGCAGGAACATATGTAAATTTTGTAGCCTAAAAACATGGATATTTATATTTTTGAAGATGTCACATGCTAAATATCTAAGCTCGTGGAATAATAAGTAAACATTAAGAAGGCATAAATGTGATTTCTATATAGGATTACATGATGTTACCAGGGCGTGGCCAGATGAATTAAGGGTCATTGTTCATATAACGTTTATGGAAGACCACAATGAGAAAACAAAACTACACTTTAAGGCATTGCTGTTCCACAGGAATCGATTTAAAGAGGTGTGTAGTAATGTAAAATGTATTTTTTAAACTAAGTGAAACATTCCACAGGGTCAACTGGCAGTTCAACACGAAAAGACTTCAATGTTTTCCCTGTATAAATTCTTTAAAATTTATTATCTCCAAGAGAATAGAGATATTGTTGACTCTCAAGTATGATTATAAATATAGAAATGTTACATGCAGAAAATCTCCGCTTTGTTCAACATTTGTTTTCAGGGAGAGGATGTTATATTTGTGAACTATACATGTATTTATAAGACTATAGACATATATCGATTGTAGGGCAGAGTCCATTTTGGTGGCTCAGCACCAGAAAACTTATACCATTTTTCTGTAAAAATAAAATAAAGTGACCCAAGAATGTTTGCACTTTATATCAATGAATAAAATTTATCTCTAATGTTGTGAAGGAGGACAAGATGATGCTCATTCAATCAATTCAAGCTCTGGGGAGTATAATTTTTGGAGATAATATTAGACATAGTATTTGAATATAACGTACTATCATGAGGTCTACGTGTCACGCATATTTAAGATCAAATAGATTAAATTACCAAGGTCTCTGAGACAATATTTTTTACAGAAATATGTGCAGGGCTTTTTTTTGTCCAGCACTGAGAAATGGGAGCGCGCTACTCCTCTTACAACTCTTTTTAAATCATGTTACACGCTTAATATCGTACTTGTCTCAATGAACTTTTACGTTTGGTCCAAGTGGGGAGGTGTTTAAATGCCTTGAAGTTAACGACAAATTGTGATTTACGAGGAAAATAATTAAATATAACATGCCATTTCAATCTCAATCCTAAGCACTGTGATAAGAGTAAACTTACTTCTTTTATATTGAATATACTCTGGATTTAGCAATGGCATTTTCTCAAGCTGATCCTCTATCTTCTTAGTGTCTTGCCCATTCTTTGCACAGGTCATCAGCTTTAACAGTAAAGTTTGACCAGTCTTTCTTAGACACTCTTCAAAATCCCTGTAACCTTTAGCACCTTTGGATTTAACATTCCGCAGAATTTTATCTTTTTTCTCTCTTATATCCATGTTCTGCAACATAGTATTTTTCACTATTTATATATATCATGTATTATGTCAAACAATGTTTACCATACTTATTTCAAAACGTTTTAAAAAGTTACAATTTGGTCTTGGTTTCAACTGTCTTTATAAAACTAGACAAGACTTATCTTACTTCAAAATGGTCTGGACGATTTAAGCATGTCATAAATGAAAGACGACGTCATGATTAACGAACAAATGAATTAGATAACTACATACACTTTAACAAACGACAGAAGACGGCAAAAAATACGTGTAGTGATGATCTGATTACAAAGTTATACAGATTGACCTAAAAATAAATATATTCATATTATATACATGCTATCAAATGCAAAATATCCGAGTCAACACTATGACCCAAAGCCAAAGAATTATAAAATAAATTGCACTTTGTATCAAACTTCTTTAAGGTTATATTTTACCTTCATATTTCGTCTGTCTGTAGCGGTGAGTAATTTACCACCTGTATCACAATCAATGATAGGATCAGGATGCATGTATTTCTTTATTACAATAAACTTTTTAATTAAAACTTTATGTCCAATATCCATCTCAATATCAGCAGACTCTGCCATATCTAGTCCTACAAATACAAAAATAATTAATCTAGCTATAAAATGTTTTGCTTGTTTTATGAAGATAGAGTATTTAGCTCAAATATAGCGATATCCTGAGCTATCAAATCCTTTGAAGCATAAAGAATTTTGATAAATCGGTTAATATTATACAAAGGCATGATATAATTGATAAAGCTCCGTCGACACCCGACACTTTTGTTTACCTTTTAAGGTGTGCTAATTCATTTTGTTGAATTTTAAGTCTCATCGACACTGATAAACTCGATTGCAATTGTTCAGGTTTACTGATAATGACCTTAGATGCCTCTTCGAGCAATTTTTAGCTGACACTGAGTAGTTCTGAACACAAGCTTTGATATATGAAAGGCTTTTTAAAAAAGAAAACTCTAAACAATCTGTAACACCATCCTTATTGCAAAGGTTTTCCCATTGATTACTGCTAAGAAACATCTTAATCTTAACAAAAATTAATGGGCCACTTTCCTGCTTGATCAAAATCTTTGTTATGAATTAAGGAGATCTAATCAAAATAAGCCCAGCAATATCAAAAGAATGTTTGTTGATATTATCAAATGCGTGATACATGCGTTTCTATCACAATATAAGATTATATGTGTTTCTATGACATGATGCACGCGTATTTATCAGGGGATTACATACGTATCTTGCATAAAAACAACACAAAAACAGCGTAGATATCGTAAAAACATGTGTATCTATAATCACAAAATTGTTTGTTTGTTTCATTTTACGCCTTTTCCCAACAGTATTTCAGTCATATAGGTGGGTAGTTTCCTAACCATCGTTCCTGGAGATTTACACCAGTACTAGACTACCTTCCTCTGTGCTAAACAATCACAAAATAATATGCGTATCTGTCACAAGATGATATTCGTAACTATCATAAAATATAATTGCAAGATACAGGCATAGAACTATCTCCAGTTAATCTGGTATGTATCACAAAATTACATGCGTATCTTTGAAATAAACAAATAGTCGTATCTTTTTTCATAGCAGTTCATGCGATGCGTATACCATAAATCACGCGGATGTATTGAGAAAAAAAATAGGCAAACATCCACTATATGATCTTAGAAAGTCCTAATACAGCTTGTGTTTATGCTTCTTAGAATATCGTTGAATTTTACGAGAAATTAAATGAATCACAAATAATTTTCTATCACTTCTCATTACAATTACCTTTATTACTGCTGAAATAATAATTAACTACATGACAAGTAAGCAAGACGTGCTTTACTGATAATGACCTTAGATGCCTCTTCGAGCAATTTTTAGCTGACACTGAACACAAGCTTTGATATATGAAAGGCTTTTAAAAAAGAAAACTCTAAACAATCTGTAACACCATCCTCATTGCAAAGGTTTTCATATTGATTACTGCTAAGAAACATCTTAATCTTAACAAAAATTAATGGGCCACTTTCCTGCTTGATCAAAATCTTTGTTATGAATTAAGGAGATCTAATCAAAATAAGCCCAGCAATATCAAAATAATATTTGTTGATATTATCAAATGCGTGATACATGCGTTTCTATCACAATATTAGATTATATGTGTTTCTATGACATGTTGCACGCGTATTTATCAGTGGATTACATACGTATCTTGCATAAACACAACACAAAAACAGCGTAGATATCGTAAAAACATGTGTATCTATAATCACAAAATTGTTTGTTTGTTTGTTTCATTTTACGCCTTTTCCCAACAGTATTTCAGTCATATAGGTGGGTAGTTTCCTAACCATCGTTCCTGGAGAGTTACACCAGTACTAGACTACCTTCCTCTGTGCTAAACAATCACAAAATAATATGCGTATCTGTCACAAGATGATATTCGTAACTATCATAAAATATTATTGCAAGATACAGGCATAGAACTATCTCAAGTTAATCTGGTATGTATCACAAAATTACATGCGTATCTTTGAAATAAACAAATAGTCGTATCTTTATCATAGCAGTTCATGCGATGCGTATTACATAAATCACGCGGATGTATTGAGAAAAAAAATAGGCAAACATCCACTAGATGATCTTAGAAAGTCCTAATACAGCTTGTGTTTATGCTTCTTAGAATATCGTTGAATTTTATGAGAAATTAAATGAATCACAAATAATATGCTAAAATAACACCCCGAGGAACTATTGGAGGCTATAAAAATTAATCTCTGTCTTGGTTATTATTAATTGATAATTCACCCGTACAGAGTATACCGAGGGAGTCACATTTTCGTATCAAACCATTCAAACAGTGTCCCCGTCTATAAAGTTTAAATTCATAGACCTGCAGGTTAACAAATATGTCAAAAAGTCTATAGAATTAGATTAAATGACAACTTTGACAACTATAAGGTTTTAATTATAAATAAAAAAGAAATCCGAGCAATAATAAGCTGCATGCATACATTAAAAATTATCCTCTTAATCAACTTGGCCTCAACCCTTATAGTTACAAATGTGAAACCCGGGGTATGAAGTGAGGGTGCATAGATCTTTAGCCTCCCGTTTCGTCAACATGATAGGTTGGGGTTATAGGCCCCTAGTCACCCCTGGTATGCTTAAAGATCCCGTAAGTTGATTAACTACATGGTTTAAACACCAAATTTAATATATTTAAATAAAGTTTCAACCAATTAGCCCAGTTATGTCTGGTAATCTTAATGTTAAACAAAAGTCGAAATAAAGTACTTTATTGACAATACTCCTCATACTGATATTTTATGTAAGATAACCAGAGTGCTTTTTAAAAGAACATACCTGGATACAAACTGAGTATAAATATCATACTTAAGATAAACAAACTCATAAAGGAGGTGAATTAGCTATTTATATCAAAGATAGCATTTTTTATGAAGTGAACACTGTAGGTAACCCCTAGATAAACAAAGAAATGTGGTCTATGCATCACCACCGTGTATACCCAGTAACGCAGGAATGTGCAAATATCGCAGGAATTTGTTTTCAATGGTTGCTGATGGAAGTCACTTCCTGCAATGGAAGTCTTTAGCTGCTATTGAAGGCTATTGGTTGCTAGTGAAAAAGATGTTTGCTATGGACGGTCACTGACTGCTATAGAAAGTCACTGGTTGTTATGAAAGTCTGTGGAAAACCTAGGTTGTTATGGAAGTTTATGGCTGCTATGGAAAATCACAGGTTGCTATGTAAGTCAATGATTGCTATAGAAAGTAAATGGTAAATATGGAAATTCACTTGTTGCTATGGAAAGTCACTGGTCCCTAAATAATTCTATGAATGCTATGGAAGAAAAAAGATGCTATGGATAGTCATTGCTTGCTATGATATTCTGGGTTGCTAAAAAGTCAATGATTGCTTTGGAAAGTGAATGGCTAATATGGCAAGTCTCTGGTTGCTATTGAAAGACACTGGTTGCTATGAAAGAAAATAGATGTTATGGAAAGACATAGGTTGCTATGGATATTCATGGTTTCTATGGAAAGTCAATGGTTACTATCGGAGCCACTGAATACTATTGGAAGTCACTGGTTTTATGACTCCCGGGCGGGGACAATTTTTAGTAGAGTGATACATGCATTTCTATCACTTAAATCTGAACAATTTTGTAGAGGTTCACAAGACAATGTTTCATACCAAATATGTATGTTCAAACTTATATAGTTAAGTAGAAGAACTTTTTATTGGTTTTTAATATTAAGATATAAGGCAACATTTATTTTCCACTTTGACAGGGCCAGTTGTGATCCTTGGATTTGAACAATTTGTAGAGGCCTACTTGACAATGTTACCAAAAACTTTAGCTTTAGCTCTTTAAGTTTTAGAGAAGAATCTTTTTATTTTATTATTTACTGTATTTATATTAGGAAAATCTAGATCCGCAGAACTTTGACCCATGAGCTGTAATTTGAACAATTTTAGTAGCTGTCCACCAGACAAAGTATCATGCTAATTGTCTAAGATACAGCGTTTGTAGATTTCAAGAAGAAGTGTTTGATATATTTACTGTTTAAGGAAAATCAATGAACCCCTTGGGCGGAACCAATTTTGACCCCAGAGCTATTATTTGAAAAGTTGTTTGAACAGGTCCCGTAGATGATGCTAGACACAAACTATTTAAGCTCTAGGCTTGCACTTTCCAGGAATATGTTTTTTAAGGATTTCATTTTAAAAATCTATTTTAGCCCTTCTGACTGAGATGTTCAAAACCGTTTGAATAATTTAGTACAGCTTCATGCCAGAAACATCAACAAGAAAATTCATAAATTTGACCCAGTGGCTTCTGAGAAGCTGTTTGTAAAAACGATTGCGACGGAGAAGATGAAGATGGACGCCGGACAAATTGTGATCACAAAAACTCAAGTGAGCTATAGAGCAATAATCAATATAAAAGCAAAAAGGTTATCTTGGCAGCTAGACACTTATTTTTTTCCAATATCGATCTAGACAATTGCATTCAGCCTAAAATTCGATGTTTTTGTTTTAGTTGAAATATGTGCTTTTTCTTAAAATATGATAAACAAGATCAACAGGGAAAGGCGGCGTTCAATGAACGCAACCCCCATAAGACCCAGCAACAAGAACCAACGGCATAGAGCCCAGGCGGACCACGAACAAAAAAAGGACAGGGCAAAGACAGAGCACGGACAGGTTAACACTTTGATATACTCAAGGTCATATAACTCAAACTTGTGTTTCAATGACAAACAAAACAAGATGATTTTTACATATTTTAACATAAAATAATGCTGAATGATTATAACAAATGAATAGTTGAATATTAATGTCTTACAGTAAAGTAATATATTAAATAATTTTCTGTTTACCCTGACTTCTTAAATCTCTTCCGAATTGATATGTATCCAGGACTGAATTCCGAGACGGGCGCTCCTTGTAACTGTCTATGAACACGTTTCACCTATAGCCAGCGCATGCGTATCTAATACAAATTCAAAGCGCATGCGTATCTTTCACATGAACGACTGGCAGTTTGAGATGTAAAGTAAGGCCATGGTTTAAAACACATACGGGAAATTGTCCTCCTTTGCCTTATATCGTTCTTTTTTTCTTTCTTTATCTCTTTTTTTTTAATTTACTGATATTTAATTTTAAATTTACAATAAAGATAATTATACCGGTTATGCATTTACTATTACAATTGCATAAAAAATATTGATGATAATATCACCCTATTAGTTTCTACATGTGCAGGTTAAAGTATCTGATTTGTCATGTGTTTGCAAGGAATTCAAAATTATAGGCAACTAACACTGTCATGTTTCCGGACGACAGTAATTTTCTTATATTAAGTTTTTATCGCGATACCGTTTACTGCTCTACTAACATTCATGTTTATTTGCCTCTTGTCTAGGACAATAACCAATAACCATAACAACAAGAACCATAAAATCTGTAACAAAAATTGCAAGCAACTTTAATATTATTTAATTCCTCTTATCTTATTACTAGTTTATTCTTTTGGACTTTGATCAAACAGCCTTGAATATCTGATTTCTCGAGACCGTCACATTTTATCTCATTTGTTTGATACGCCTACTCAGGTGGGATTCCTTGGCTTTGATGTTCAAAATAAACATAAGCTGTATCGGGGTAACCCGCATATAAAAAAAAAAGACTTGTCAACGATTTTTTTAAGATAAGCTAGATAAGTTTGTTGATAAAGGGAACTTTTTGAAATATTTCTATTTAACAAGTGATATTGCATGATATTAGTGAGTCATTTAATACAATAGAAATGACATATGAAAAACTTGGTAAAACAATTTATTTCCTCTTTATTTGATATTTTCCTGTAATGAAATGTGTAATACAATGTCATTAAAAGCAATATTAAAATGGAAAATAAGCATAAATATTACATAAATCGGATTTAAAGGGTTTCTTGGATGTTACAACCTTTAACATTAGCTACACTGTATCTAAGTCTGCGCTAGTATCTAAGAATGCTGAATAACATTGTTTAAATAATTTATGTCATGCGCAATTGTTTCTTGGAGATTAAATTACATTGAGATTGACCCTTAATGTTCTTGACAGGTGTTTTGCTGAGAAATCTGAGCCGCTTTTTATGGCCCAATTCTCAAGCCTGAAATACACTAAGCCTACAAATAATTTTTAGATTTACGGTAACAGGGCAATTGGGCGAAAAAATGCTAATTATGGTATTTGGCTTTCCTTCTGTAAAAAGATTACCTCACTTTATCATGCTCAGCACAGGGAGAATGATTCCTAGTTTACTTTGGACTGGAACACAGAAATGTTTAAATTTAAGATCAAAATGGTAATTAAGGTATTAAGGTATTATAGATGTTTGCAACCATCATTTATCTTATGTTCGTGTACAATGTCATCAAATCCCGGTGACAAACGACTTCCAAAAAAAATCCTGTTTTGTTAAACGAAAAAAATAAATCTATGTAGTAGCCGAACTACTGTCTTCACGAATTAGTGTATAGCAAGGACGGATGAATACTAAATACGTTAAATGGTAGTTAAGTTTTATGACTTAAATAATTGTATACAAAATATGTAAAAAAACGTGGCTATTTAAAAGGCCACTATCCGAATTTATTCTGCTGTCCGAAAACGACCGAATAATATTCAGTTACAGCTGTTCATGAAAATTTATATAAACAAGTAAATCCGAAATTGAATCTAAGATTATATGTCATCTGTGTGCACAATTTGACTTAAATAAAACAAAACAAATACTAAAACAAATTTTATGGGTCCAAAACAGAAAACGGAAAAAGTGAAACTACAGAAGAAAACAATAACGTATGTACCTAAACACAGGAACAGAAGGAAGTTCCTCTATCAAGAGTAAAGTATTCTCCCCGGAGGACAACATTATTACTGAAGATACAGACATTGAGGGTAGTAAAGAATCGAGCATAGAGAAAAATACAGCAAACCCGACTGAAATATTTATTTGTTTCAAACTCTTAAATGGAAGTTGTGAAAATGACAGCATACAATATAGAATACAAGGTACCAGTGGAATGCTCCCTTCCAACATACAACCAATGCCTATGCCAATGTTTTCATCAAATGTTTAATTTTGGACCACCACAAGTGACCCATCCTATCGTGGTATCACCAAAGGGATCAGCTGTACTAATTACCAGCCTAACTGACTAAGATATTTTGAAAATAGCATTTGTGATTAAAGATACTTCGCCATGGGAACTGTAAAACTTTAAGAAACAACAGCAGAAATGATAAAAGAAAGAGTAAATCTATATAATCAAATTTGTGATTACAAATTTGTATATCTGTATGTCGACATATTACGTTGCTGCCTGTTGTTACATCTAGTGGAAGCAGAGATATTAAGCAAAAAAAGTTGAAGAAAAATTTACCGTTCCTGTGCAGAACGGTGAAAATACACACTACTGACTTAGTCATAGTTGTTCCTGAGCAAACTGGAGCTGAAATATCACTGAATGATATTGACAAGTGTCAAAATGGAGGGCCCCTTAGTAAAGAATGAATAAAAGACATTATAGTAAAGTTCAAATCATTTAGAGCAAAAACCCAATTTATCATAGGTAGAAAATCTCTTAGATGCAAGAAGGAAAATATCTATATTAATGAAGATTAAACAAAAGTTCAGATCTGACCTAGCAATGGATGCTAGACCTATGAAGAAAGACCAAACTACAAATGTGAAAAGAACATTGAACTTGGAAATATATATATTGAAACTGAAATGAAGATATCATCAAAATAATCAATAAATATACCCTTTTGAAATATAAGGGATAATCTTAGTGTAGTCAATCTACAATATGCTGAAATTATAACAGAAAAAGTGATTTAAAAATTACAATATGCTAATGATGTTATCATGAATAATAATATATGATATTATTCAATAATATGCATTCATGTTCCTTTAGAATCATGTATTCTAAAAAAAACTTATATTTGTAATTTAAATACATGTATATAATGAAAATTCTAACACTCCTCGTGATTTGTCATTATAGACAAAGAAGAAAAAAACGGTGTTTAACTGCAAATAAACACTGGTTAGGGACTAATTGAATATGCAGCTGCTATGTTTACTCCCTCGGTTATATAGTTGGCAAAGCCTTTTAAAACAACATTTTTTTTAATTTATATTTTCAGTTCTTATAATGTTTTCTTTTCATGCAATACCGAAAATATATCTCACATACTCAGTCTCACATACATACATAAATACTTTTTTTAAATTCCTATTTATTATTATTATTTTAGATAATTAAAATTTATATGATCAATTTAAATATAAAATGGAATTAATCATTTTAATAACCAAACAAAGTAAATATGCTGTATTTTAAATTTTGTATTATAATAAAGAGGTGTTGCGTGTTAAGAAGAGATTTGGAAGAAATTCAAAATATATTCCACCTGAAATATGCCACTGGACAATCGTAAGCAATAAAGTAAAAACTTCATTATTATACTAGGACAGATTGCGCCAAAGCACTTATATAGATAGATTTACTTCAGCAATAACATTGTAACATTGTAAAACATATCCAATACATGATAAAACAATAAAAACAAATAGCAATAGAAATGAACCATATCAAAAAATAGATAAATACAGAATCCCTAAAGAAAGCCCAACATGGCAAAATTGAAAATGTTGCAGGCTCGGTTTGATTGAGCCTGTTCATGGACGGTACTGGAAAGTGCATACCGTCCACGCCCCCTAGCACCGGCTTAAGCAGAATTCAACATTTAAACGTGAAATAGTAAAATTTTGAATTTAGAAACATCCGCAGATGTGTTCATATGGCGGTTATCATGGAACCTTCAATGTGACACTTCCGTGCCATTCCATGAAAAGCGGCGTATGGTCCCCAAGTAATAAAATGCGTGTGCCCTAAACGAGAAAACAATGGGCGAAACTAAATAAAATGGAATTCCGAAAGGGGACCAGAGGTTATGAAGCCTGCGTATCACAGATAAGACGTCAAAAGACAAATTTAAAAAGCAGGCAACATATCCTAAGGGTGATTCAACATTATTCAAGTAGGAATATTGGAACCACCCATAGAGAAAAAGCCAAAAAGTTGAAACTAAAAATACCACAAGCACAACAATAATGTCGTGCTGAACGATCTTCAAGGATCTTCAAAACATCATACCAATGATAAAAAAAGAAAGAGAACTTAATCTCTTATTTCCATTGTGATCCTTAGATTCTGACAAAGAGAGGCAGTTCTTTCTCAATAGATGACCTTTTTTTACCTGCAACAAGAATAGCAGAATAATCTACATAAAGAAGAAGTTTATTTTTAAACAACAGCCTGCATTTCATTTACATAAATTAAAAATAATAATGGTCCCAAGATAGACCCTTGGGGAACACCACAAGTAACCCTTTCACGTGAGGAAAAAGAACCAGATACATCAACAAGTTGTTTGCCTATCAGACAGATATGACCTTCACCATTGTAAAACATCAGTACTAAGACCAATGGTTTTTAATTTCATTATAAAGATTGAGTGGTCCAATGTATCAAATGCTTTTTGAAGATTCATTAAAATCATGCCTACAAGATTACCTTTATCCATATGTAGCTAAATGAAATCAGACAGATGTGTAAGACAAGTGTCTGTGGAAAAAAAAACACCTCTAAATCCTGATTGAAATTTATATAATATGTCCATTTCTTTAAGATAGGAAGAAATCTGATCATAAACAACCCTTTCAAAAAATTTAGAAACAATGTTTAATATGGAAACAGGCCTGTAGTTGCCAACTAGAGTTTTATCATTCTTTTTTAAAAGAGAAACAACTCTTGCTGCCCTCAAATCATCTGGTATTGTGCCTTGTATCAATGACAAATTTATGATATTAAAGGAAATGCATTAATAGATGCGATATCTC